GTTCCATATAAAAAAATACAACTTTATGCTATAACTCGAATTTGAAGAATTGTTTAAAAAAAATTGACTACGCCACTGGATTCTTATCAAAAAAGTGCGTGAAGAAGGTATACATTATTTTCTTCCACTTTCATAAATAAGCGAGATAATGCTACATAATGAAAATCTGAAAGAAACAACTTTTGTTTATAACTCGAAAACAAAATAAAATAGCCAACTTTTGAAAATGTCATTAAGATTTTCTCAAAAAAGAGATCAAGGATGGGAGGTCCATTTTTCCATAAAATTTATAGTTAACGAGATTCTCTATTAAAACCGAAGTTTTCCCACCCTGTACATACACTATAGATTGCACTGTTTTAGACTACATAATTCAATTTGTCAATATTATTTTATTATTAATATTTTTTTATATTATTTTGATAATTCAAATTCGGGTAAAATCGGCTATTCTGTAATTTTTGAGTGGACATTTTCATCGTTGAAACATGACAACACTGGAAATTGGTAGTTTGGAAAATGAAACGTTACCTCTAAATCTCTAATGAAATAATGTAGGCGAAGGGAAAAAATCATGGTAAGTTTTTTAATAAATAAAAAACAAAAAATATGCTTTTAAAACTGTAATTCCAATCAAAATAAACCAAAAAATACGTACCCAACGTCGATCGAGTACCTCAAAATAATACAGAAGCCTTTAATTTTTTTCGTATCTTACTTTGTTCTCAAGTAAAAAATTAAAACCAACAATTTTGCACGTCTCTGGGTATTTGAACCCTGAACATCAAAAATAAAGTAAAATTATATATTTTATTGGACAAAGTACCCTTATGATATAAATTGGACCACCCTGTAGTAACAATTCATTATAGACTAATTATGTAAAAGTATCCAATTTTTTTACAAAAAATAAAAGATCTATATGTTAAATTGGATATTTCCGAAGTTATCGGTATTAAGTAGACACTTTGTCAACGTTGCTTTTTTGGTAGAAGTAAATAAGAGAGCAAATGGAAGAAATAACAAAACAAAATAAGCACCATCCGCACGTCACAGTCGGCTGAAGACTGAATTGGGTTCCAAGGTCGTCTTCTCTGCCGTAATAAGATCAAGAAACCATTCTGACCAGTAGTAAAAGTATTACCGGGTTAATTTCAAAAGTACCTAAAAAATATATCATTTTTTTACAAAAAAACGTATTAGAAGTCTTTTTAAAAATAAAAATTGTGAAAATTTGTAGAAATTATACAAAATTGCTGTTTGTTTTAACAAAAATAAAACATTTTATTGAAATGGTGATATATTTACATGTACGTTGCAACTTTTTTTGGTGATATATCTTCGTTTGAAAGAAATAAAAATAGTGCACATAGCAAAAATGATGTAAGCCACGGCAAATACAGTAAAAACGCTTAAGATCAGTGTGCGACTTGCTTGAAAAAGAACCTAAAACAAATAGGTATATGACTTTTTTCACACAATATTATTTAATAAATGTTGCACAAAATGGCTACTAACTCATTTACCTTAATATTTCTGCTCCAAGTGTATTTTGGTTTCGAATCTTCACCGTTTTGTTTTGGACTCTTCAACTGTACTAGATGCACTAAAGCAGTACTAAACAAGTTCAGGATCCGGGCAGGTGTTTACGAAGAAAAGAAGAGACTCGGAGACTCGGAGAACTGTTCAAATTCAAATGTTTTGTTACGAAAATGGTAATGGGTTGCGAAGATTGCAAGAATGGATGAGCGATCGTCGATCGTTCGATGTAGGAGGCGTTGAATGTTGTTGATTGCATTCCTTTGTTTATATCCGAACAACAGAACCGAACATTCAGGTATTCGTAAGAGTCGATATGGTAATTTAACAGGGTCGGTCTGAAATATTCCCGTACTAGGTACCTACTTATTCAGAACTACCTCTGACATCAATTAATTTACGATGAGCGGGGGAATTATCCTTATAAGTACGCTATTTTCTGTTGAATCTGTTGGAATATCGACCTGTTGGGATGTCGCTATCGCAGGAAAGTATTTAGGCCACAGTTGATTTCAAAGATTTAATGTAAAAATACAAGTTTTACTTTTGACAATACTTTTTTTTATTTTCAAAAAGACATTACATTAAAGTCAAAAACTAGTGAACAGTACATAAATAAAATAATACAACTAAGGCTTGAAGATTAACATAAAATCTAGCTAGTATTTTGTGTCAAAAATAAAATTTTAAAAGAAAATTTCTGGATATGTATTCTTATCTGTCAAAAAATTATGTAGATTAGAAAATGCAGACCTCTTTTTTTCTTGATCGACAACATTGAAAAAACCTCTGATTGAAAAAAAAAAAAGTAAATAAAAATATTAAAATTTAAATTCGTACAACAAAGTAGATATATAGTTAATAATTAAAATATATTTATCAACTCTATTCACGATCATGATCTTACGTGCACAGAGAAGAGGATAATGACATAATAATTTGTATCAAAAACCTGGGTAAAATCGTCCCTCACATCCGGCAACAGCGCCTCGGGATCCTTTCTCATGCTCCTTTGACCTCCCATCAACTTAATAGCCGTTACAGGTTTTGTTTTCGAGATGCCTACTTGATTTACTCCATTTTTACACTTTTCTTTGTTCAAAGAATGGACATATATAATATACATATACTTGAATGCTTGAATTTCGGTTGAAAAATTGTTCTGAAATGTTAAGAAGACGTGATGATATGCACATAATTTCTTCTTCGAATTTTGGCTGGGAAAGTAGGTATGATTGCGGCTAGAGAACAGCGACCAATTATTTTGGGTATTTTTACGTAACTGCGTGATCTATTAGTATAGCCAAGGGCGTAGACAATCGAGGAGCTAAAGGATATTTAAAGGTATCTAACAACGGATATAGGAATTATGAAAATATACAAAACTATTGATTATATTGAAAAGCCATAAAATGTTGAAAATACTACAATAAAAAAATAAGTGCTCCAAGTACAGAGCCCTGAGGAACTCCCAGATTAACAACTGCTTCATTTGATTGAGTTTGATTTATTTTAACTATTTTTCTATATCTTACATATGACATCAACCGAGTCAACATACTACCACGAAATCTCAAGGCATATAGTTTTTTTATCAAGAAAATCTAAGTTTAATGTATCAAAAGCCTTAGTAAGGTCAAAGAAGAGCGCTCCAACAGTTTTCTTGTTATCAAGATTTTTAAAGATAAATTAAACAAATTCATATACAGCCCCTTCTGTAGACCTCGCAAGTTAGGTTAGGTTAGGTTAGGTTAGGTTAGGTTGTTAGGTTAGGTTAGGTTAGGTTAGGTTAGGTCAGGTTAGGTTAGGTTAGGTTATGTTATGTTGTTATGTTAGGTTAGGTTAGGTTAGGTTAGGTTAGGTTAGGTTAGGTTAGGTTAGGTTAGGTTAGATTAGGGTAGGTTAGATTAGGTTAGGGTAGGTTAGGTTAGGATAGGATATATATCCGATATATATCATTTTTAAAATTTAATTATTTAATTCAAAAACAGTATTGTCTCTAGAAAAACTATATTTGTAATTTTAACACTGACACATTAACAAAAACCTATATACTAAACAACAAAACCGTTTATTCTAACTCAAATTTAAAAGAAAAAAAAAACAAAAATAATTAATGAAATAAACGGATTCTAACATTATTTTATTAACATTAATATTTTAACACAAACACATATTTAAAGACATATATAAATAAATATTCTAAATTCTAAACAACAAAACCTTTTATTATAACTCCAATATTAAAAAGAAAAAAAAAAAAAGAAAAATAGACAGATTTTAACATTGATATTAGTATATCCTCATCTGAGGAATTATAAATATCAATAATGTGATTCCTATTAGTGACAATAACTTCAGAATCTTCAAATAAGGCTGGTCCCATGACCAGTCAAAGTTCGCTTTCTTTTTGTCTATATTTTGATTCATATATTCATATTTGTAACAAACTGAAACATCATAAAAAAATTTAAGCAAGTTGTAGGATTTAATAATTATTTCTTTTGTAAGTTTATTGTCTTTACATAACAGTGAAAATAATCTTCAAACTTAAAAATTACGTCCAATTTTCTAGAACAAAAACCGAAACATCCGGTGTTCTTAGTTACATACAACGATACCTACTCTGTTGAAATATATGGATATATTTTGGCGTGGAGTGGAACAGAGAAAAGAAACTTCCTATTGTTCGCCGAACAAAAATACAGAGAGTACAGAAGAGTCTAAAAAGGGCTCCATTCATCTCTCGTTGCCCGCATTCAATACAAAAGTTTTCTTTAATCTTTATACTTTCACAATACAATATCTATAGAAAATGTGTGAAGAAACTTTTTCGAGTAATATGCTGTATATAATGCGCCAAAGTACGGGGGATATTACTCCTCTTTTTTGTTTGTTCTTCGGGTCGACCATCGACCCCATACTACGAGGGATGATACAGAAACTATTATCATGCAATTATCTAGATTTTTGTTAAATTTACCCCGATCAAATCAACAGGAATAATCTAGTTGAAAAAGAAAAGTTACCGGAATAAAATAGTAGAAGAAACAATACCGAAGAAGACCATACAAAAAACGCAGAAAAAAAAAATATCGAAAAAACAACACTAGAAGAAATCGTGTCAACAATAAAGAAAAGACAAGTTCAAAACAGAAAAATATGGTGGACTCCAAGACACTGTTTTGGGGCCTGTCTTATTTAATCTTTATATAAATGATGTATTTAATCTCAACTATGCTGAATATAATATTGGATATGCCGTTGGTACAACAACTTTTTATGAGGCAAAAATGCAGATTGAGCTGAAAAACAAACTTCATTATTGTATTTTTGCCTTATAAAAAACTAGTCCGATCAAAAGTTATGGACAGTTCTTCGCTTTTCTAAATCCTGGAAATTCGCTTTATAAAAATTCAATCTGTAATATTTTGTATTAATTTTTTTCTTTTTTTTTACAGGTTTTCACTTAAGCGGCGTTGTCACGGGCCCGCGAAACTCCGCCACTGCGACGTTGCCATGCGGCGCTCCAGAACCCCCTCAAAAATTTAAAGTTTCCGTTAGTTTTGATAGGTAAGTATTTTTTGTTTCTCATAGTATGTTTAAAAAGCTTAGTCGACATTACAATTTTTTTTATTAATACATAATAATAATAATAATAATAATAATAATAAACGAAATAATCGAAATAATCGAAATAATCGAAATAATCGAAATAATCGAAATAATCGAAATAATCGAAATAATCGAAATAATCGAAATAATCGAAATAATCGAAATAATCGAAATAATCGAAATAATCGAAACAATCGAAACAATCGAAATAATCGAAATAATCGAAATAATCGAAATAATCGAAATAATCGAAATAATCGAAATAATCGAAATAATCGAAATAATCGAAATAATCGAAATAATCGAAATAATCAATTAATAAATTTTAAAAAAAATATTAGTCGACTAATAGTTTATCGAAAATAATCGAAAATAGTCGAAAGTCATTGAAAATAATCGAAAGTCACCGAAAATAATCGAAAATCATCGAAAATAATCGAAAATAATCGAAAATAATAGAAAATAATCGAAAATAATCGAAAATAATCGAAAATAATCGAAAATAATCGAAAATAATCGAAAATAATCGAAAATAATCGAAAATAATCGAAAATAATCGAAAATAATCGAAAATAATCGAAAATAATCGAAAATAATCGAAAATAATCGAAAATAATCGAAAATAATCGAAACTAATCGAAAATAATCAAAAATAATCAAAAATAATCGAAAATAATCGAAAATAATCGAAAATAATCGAAAATAATCGAAAATAATCGAAAATAATCAAAAATAATCAAGAATAATCAAAAATAATCAAAAATAATCAAAAATAATCAAAAATAATCAAAAATAATCAAAAATAATCAAAAATAATCAAAAATAATCAAATATAATCAAAAATAATCAAAAATAATCAAAAATAATCAAAAATAATCCAAAATAATCCAAAATAATTCAAAATAATTCAAAATAATTCAAAATAATCCAAAATAATCCAAAATAATCGAAAAATAATCGAAAAATAATCGAAAAATAATCGAAAAATAATCGAAAAGTAATCGAATATACTCGGAAATAATAAAAAAAATAGAAAATAATCAAAAATAATCGATTATTGATTTAAAAAGATCTACTAATCGATTAATCGAGATAATATTCGTTTAATAATCTATATTAATCGATTATTTTCCCCAACTCTATCTTTAACCAGTAAGAAGTAAAAAATAATTTGCCTTTTCTTATAATTTCCGATTTCTGGAGATGATCAGTTTGTTTCTTCTTTTCTCAGGTGCAAAATAACCTCAGTGACATGCAGTTGCGAAACGAAAGACATTTTTTGGTGTCAGCACGTCGTCGCCTTGTCCCTGTATCGAATAAGAAATGCAGAAAGTGTCCGATTACGTGTTCCTATTTCAGGTAAGTCACAAAAGATTTTTATATGGAATTTAATAATGGATATCTTTATTTGTAAAAACAACCGAAATACTTTCGTCTGTATATTTGATAAGAATAATACGCTGTATTAGTATGACGTATTTGGCTTTTAATGACAGTTGAACTATAACGAAAACAGAATTTGTTACTAAACGATTATGCATATTTATCTAATTACTTAAGCAAGTATTTAAAAATTATATAATTTAGCCGTAAACAAAGCGAACAAAACGCTGTCATTTGTCATTGGAACATCAATTACGTCATCTAGATATTACATGGTTGCCAACTTTTAGAACATTTTAAAATGTTATGTTGGTTGCCTATTGAGTAGATATCCATCAGAATGTGTATTTTTTAGCTAAAATAGTAATAAATTGTTTCCATTATTATTTGTCGTTTACCATTAGGTATGCCAAGAAGTATTTTTGAATATAGTGATCCTAACTGAAAGGTTATTATATAATTTTTAACACAAAAACGTTCATTGTACTACTGACTGATAAAAAGGTGTATTAGAATGGTATTTAATATTAATATTTGTAGAAACATATTTGAAAATGAAGATTTTCTAACTTAACCAAAAACTTCACTTGTCACTTGTCTTTATATTGTCATACTAAAACCACATGCATTAGTAAAGTATTTTTAACATCTTTCTTTAGTTTTTACCCCATCCTCAACAACTTTAACAACAATATTAATTACAATTAATTAGGTATTGATTATAAAATTCCCTTTCCTTCTTTTTTTTTTAATCATCGCATTACAGAACAATGTGATAATCGCTGTTTATACACCTGTAGACGTCGTTCGGATGGCACGGGATACCACCGGGACACAAACGACCCGAGATGATTCTTAAAGCGGATATGACAGAAGGGAACATAGAACATGGCGTCCCCGTTCGCAAAGCACTGCTCACCCTTGTTCGGCGGAAGATTGTTAAATCGGCCGACCACTAATCCCTGATCGATACACGGAACGTTTCCTTATTATTTTTCCAGCGATTCCTATCGAATTAACAGCGGTGTTTTGGTATTTTTACTTAGATCACTACGTACATTTTGGAAGGAAAGTACTTATGTTAAATCTAGTACAAAATCGATGATAATAATAAGAAAACTTTTAGGTTGGAAAATAAAAAAAAATAACAACATTTTCATATAAATCGCTATTGATTTCCCTTAAAACTATTAAAATAGTCCGATTTGACACGATCTTTATTATCACGTCGTTAGACAATCCTACTGACTGCGCCACTTTTAGGTTGGCTAATAAAAATTAGTAAACTTAACAGTATAAAAAATGTAAAAACTAGAAAATGGCGACAACAACCTATTTTTGGTGTTCCTAGATCTTGGTGTGGCCTTATCTTGGATTTGCAGCGTCTGCATATAAACAAAATTATGTTATTGTACGTGTTATGTGCTATCATAACTCTTCCACCTTTAGAGGAGAATCCGGGGGCTGGCCTCTGGATTTTCTTCCTTGGAGCTCTTCTTCGATGACTTCTTTCTATATTTTCTATATAATTACATTCAAAATAACAAATAGAATGTAATAAAAATAGAAATCAATATAATCCAAACACTGATGTTGTTAAAATGGGTTGGATTATCAAAAATGTATTTTAATGTTTGTTTTTAAAAATTTAAGAGTCTTTTAGAATGGTTAATTGGTCGAAATTAATACTGTTCAATTTAATAGTTTTAGATTTTTATAATTATAGTTTTTAATATTCATTTATTTTAAATTCATTCTTCCTAGTTTAAACGATAGTCAAGTTATTTAACAAAAACACTTGTTTCTGGTAAAATTCCCCCAAATTTGATCTGAAAACCCTATTTTCTGACTTTAAGGACAACTCATCCGTGACTTTTTAAAAATTATTTTGTAGAGCTTTTAAAGAGAAATTTAATGATGCAAACCATTTTTTCCTAGTTTAAACGATAGTCAAGTTATTTAACAAAAACACTTGTTTCTGGTAAAATTCCCCCAAATTTGATCTGAAAACCCTATTTTCTGACTTTAAGGACAACTCATCCGTGACTTTTTAAAAATTATTTTGTAGAGCTTTTAAAGAGAAATTTAATGATGCAAACCATTTTTTCCTAGTTTAAACGATAGTCAAGTTATTTAACAAAAACGCTTGTTTCTGGAGGACTACGAGTATTTTACCTATTCTAATACTACATTTATTGATTAATTCTAACAAAAATGTTCCTTCTAATGGGACATTGGTTTTGCCTTGTCCGCAGATTCTTTGGGCCACTGTGTTCTGACTGTGTTCTGACTGTGTTTTGACGAATTTTCTAGATCCACAATGTCGAAAGGGATGGTTTGACATTTGATGAGGTTCCTAGAAAACTTTAACAATAAGACTTTGTTTGCATATTCTTCGAAATTTGCACTTTTCCTCAAATATCTGGAATACAGTCCATTTAAGGGAAATAATTTATAGGTCAAGAATTATAGATCAAACAACTTTTATTTGAACAATTTTCTTCTCGCAAGTGTAAATAAATTATTCCATAAAGTAGAAAAAACAACTCCCCATAAAGTACCCCTCCAGATGTTCCGACTATGCCGAAAATCCAATCAACTTACCGCAGGATAGATTAAAGCTTAAGTTTAAAATTTGATGTTTTTTTGTTTTCCATTTTTGAGTTATCTTCAAAATTCGAATTTTGCACTTTTTGTCAAATTTCTCGAATACGGACCATTTTAGGAAAATTATGTATAGGAGAAAAAATATAGAGAATGACATCACACGTAACTTTTATTTGACGAATTTTCTTCTCCAAGCGTAAATAAGAAATATATTCCATAAAGTGGAAAAACAACTTCCTCTAAAGTACCCCTCCAGATGTCCCGACTATGCCGAAAATCCAATCAACTTACCGCAGGGTAGATTAAAGCTTAAGTTTAATATTTGGTGTTTTTCTGTTTATCCGTTTTTGAGTTATCTTCAAAATTCGAATTTTGCACTTTTTGTCAAATTTCTCGAATACGGATCATTTTAGGAAAATTATGTAAAGAACAAAAATTATAGAGAATGACATCACAAGCAACTTTTATTTGACGAATTTTCTTCTCCAATTGTAAATAACATATATTCCATAAAATAGAAAAACGACCCTCTAAAAAGTACTCCTCCAGATGTTCCGACTATGCCGATAGTCTAATCATCTCACTGCAGGATAGATTAAATGTTAAGTTTAAAATTTGGTGTTTTTCTGTTTAATCGTTCATTAGTTATCGTGTATACAGACACACACTGACAGACATAATCGCGAAAATGGTCAACGGATTCTGGGTTCTCCAAAACGTAAAAATCTGTCGATAACTCGAGGTCGAAAAAAATCATGATTCCTATACTTTCCTTATTTGTTTACTGACAGGAAAGTAAAAATAACTAATATATCCAACTCAAAAATAAAATGTTTAAAATTAAAAGAGCTAAATTTCTTACCCAATTCCTACGATTATTTTCATCATATCAATAAGATCGAGCGATGCTGTCTCTTCTCCCTGATTTTCTTTTAAAACTAGCCGGATTAGGCGATGCAATCCTCGTCTAGGATCTCCAAACTTCGGCAATGTTGGTCTTTTGCTTGGATGTAACTTTTTCACCAATTTTCGCTATTTCAATTTGCTGTTAAACTATTAAAATAGACCTATTTGACACAATCTTTATTGTCACACCATTTGACAATCCTACTGACTGCGCCACTTTTAAGTTACATAATAAAAATGACAAAAACTTTACATAAAAGCGGAACTATATTTTATATCTTAACAGTATAAATGTAAAAATGTAAGAGTTTTGTTACTGCTAGGTCTTGGTGCTATATTAGCTTGGATTTGCAGCCTCTGCATATCCTTCTGTTGTACTCGTTACGATTGTGTTATCCTAAAACAAATAAAAATACATTTTTTTTAATGAATTTATACATTGCTCTTGAAAGTTTATAACAAAGGAAGAAATATTGACTATATAAAAATAGAACGGGTGTGAAATTATCCACATCCACAAATGTACACTGAGAAAAATATAGCTTTATCTTAATAGTCATATAACTTGTTTCAAATGACATATAGAGGCTTTTCATTTGCAGATTTTAATTGGGGAGGTTTCAATACATAACAACCATACCTGCAATTAACTTTTGTTCCTTCTGAGGGAGTGCAGTTGGGGGTGAAATTTAAAAAAATCGTAGAAGCCACAAATGGCATTGTACACCTTTTTGCTTGGGATATGTTATGTAGTTTGATCTTTTCCTTATCCCTAATACCATGCTGGAGTTTGTCGAGCCGTCTGAGGGGGTGCAATTGGGGGTAAAATTTTAAAAAATCATAGATGGTAATAAATTATAATTTTTTACTTGTAGTTCTTGGGTTTTAGGTGTTGGTTGAGACTGAAAACAACGAATACTACAGCACCAAAAACGGACACGACAATGATAAAAATCGATTACATAATAATAATAATAATATGAAAGGAAAATGATTTCAAACACTTAACAAATATAATGACACACCCCAACATGTACTAAAGAACAATTTTGACTGTTAAAATAATGTACAAATATTAAAAAAAAAACTACTCAAGAAGGCACTGATCAGTGCCGAAAGCTATACCCACATACACGAGTTTCATTCCTCAACCAACACCTAAAACCCAAGAACTACAAGGAAAAAATATAAATAAAGCTGTAAGAAAAAAAAAAACTTTAGAAAAGGAGGTTTCCTTTTATAAAGTACCAATAGTAAATTATAATGTAGGTACAGAAAATACAAAAAAAAAATAACTCAAAATATACTTTAAAAATGTTTTTTTCTAAAGTAAAACAAAAAATTACTCTTGAATTGAAGGTGTACAGTGCCATTTGTGACTTCTGTTTTTTTTTTAATTTCACTCCCAATTGTACCCCCTCAGTCGGCTCGACGAACTGCAACCTGGTATTAGGGATGAAGAA